GAAGGAAGGTAAGCTGGCCCTGAAACCATGCGAGAGTACCTTCTGTCCTGGGGAGAAAGGAGTGAGTTGGATGACCCTGTGCGTCACCTCGGCAGCTGTAAAAGCCCAGTGAGGTCAAGTCCTCACTTGACCACGGATGACCCTGGGGTGTGGGAGGTCCCACGGCTGGTGAGGAGGCAGCTGGGATTCAACCTGCAGGCCATCGGCCCCAGAGCCTGGGCTCTTACCCTGACTCTACTGCCTCTCTGAGCAGTTTTAGGATTGCTCTGACGAGGCGACGTTTCAGCAGAGGGCTGAATACAGTAAAGGAGCAACGACACGGGTCCCTTGGGAAGAGTGAAGTGGACAGAGGGAACGATGAGTGCAAAGGCCTGGGACCAGCCTGGAGGCCCGGGCGGCTGGAGCCGGGGGACGTGAGGCTGAGTGGTGGATGAGCTCAGAGTGCCCCGAGGGAGAAGGCCTCTGGGGCTGTGGCAAAGCCAGGAGTCATAACGAAACTCCTGAGAGATGCGTTTCTATGAAGCGCACACGAGGGTAGTCGTAAGAGCAGAAGAAGGATGAGTAATAGACTGTGTTTAATTTTCACTGATTTCATTAAGTAAGTGTGGTAGACAGACCCGACGGTGGCCCCTGTGATCTCTGTCCCCGGTATAATCCCCTCCCTTGATTGTGGACTCACCTGTGACTTCCTTCTAGCTAGTGGAATAGTGCAAAGATGAAGGGATTTTGCAGATGTAATTAAGGTCCCAAATCAGTTGATTTTGAGTTAATTGAAAGGGAGATTATCCCTGGTGAGCTTGGTTTTGTTAAGTAAACGCCCTTTTAAGAGGGACTTGGTCCATTCTGAGGCTGGAAACTCTCCTGCTGACCTTGCAGAAGCAAACAGCCATGTTGGGGAGGGCCACGTGGCAGGGGACTTGGGGCAGCCTCTAGGATCTGAGGGCAGCCAACAGCCAGCAAGAAGCTGCAAGGAAATGAATCCTGCCAACAACTGGAATGGGGCCAGCAGCGGATTCTTCTCCGCTGATACTTCCAGATGAGAACGCGGCCCGACTCACACCTTGATTGCAGCCTATGAGACCCTGAAGAAGACCAGCTAAGCCATGCCCAGACTCCTGACGCCCAGAAACCGTGAGGTAATCCATGTGTGCTGTCCAAAGCTGCTAACTCCGTGGTATTTGTCATGCAGCCTGGAAAACTAATGCAGTAGGCAATTGCTAACCTGTGGGTGTGTTGTTTTTCCCCTGATGATAAAGTGATGCTGCATACTTGTCTCCGTCTGTGTAAGAAGAAACAGGGAAATGCTTGGGACCAAGGAACAAAGCCAGGGGCCCCAGAAAAAGCAGGAACTGGCAGCACAGTGGTTACTCGTGAGAACCAGGAGGTGCCCGCCCCAGCGCTCACACACAAAAGCCAGGTAAAGGGCGGGTTCAGCAGTGTGTTCCCAGATGGATGATACATTACCCAAATGTCCTAAAGAGAAGTCATAACCACAAAGCTTCCACCCTCCATTTCTTGGTGATGGAATTTCTCGATGGCCTTGCCAATTTTTATACAATACCAGTATGGCAAACATAAATTTTTAACAATACTAACAGGTCAAGTCACTATTTCATAATGACAGGACTAGGTTATTCAATCATAAAAACCCAAAGATAGGTTATGTCATACTACCAAGCAAGACTTGAATAAGGCAGAATTTTAGGGAAGACACATGTTGCGAAGAACCAAAACCCATGTGAAGGGTTTGAGCTTTCCAAGTCTGATTGATGCAGCAAATGACATTTACTTATAAAAAGCAACTTGAATTGGATGACAGGTGGCCTGCTCTGAATTGCCTCGGGAAGAATGATCTAGATCTAGCCCCAGCCAAGGATCAGTCCATCAACAACCACAATGCCTTAACTCAGCTGGTTAGAGATAGTCTTCTTTTTCTCTAGGGCATTCAACTCTGGAAAAATATCAAAATAAATATAGCTGTAATCCAAAAAAGGTATTTTATTTTATTTTTTTTTGTGAGGAAGATTAGCCTTGAGCTAACATCTGTCACCAATCCTCCTCTTTTATTTATTTATTTATTTTTGGTGAGGAAGATCAGCCCTGAGCTAACATCTGCCAATCCTCCTCTTTTTGCTGAGGAAGACTGGCCCTGGGCTAACATCCATGCCCATCTTCCTCTACTTTATATGGGACGCCGCCACAGCATGGCTTGACAAGTGGTGCGTCGGTGCGCGCCCGGGATCCGAACTGGCGAACCCCGGGGCGCCGCAGTGGCGTGCGCGCACCCAACCACTTGTGCCACCGGGCCTGCCCCTTCCTCCACTTTATATGGGACGCCACCACAGCATGGCTGGAGAAGCGGTGCGTCGGTGCACGCCCGGGTTCTGAACGAGGTCCACCAGCAGTGGAGCGCGTGCACTTAACCACTAAGCCACGGGGCCGGCCCCAAAAAAGATATTTAAAAAAAAAATTAAAGGAAATAATGAAGATGTTGGTTAAATCCATGATGTTGATGTTTAGGGTAAGAAATTGGTTTTGTAATCATTACATTAGCATATGCTTGATTTGCTGTCTAAGGTGTTTGCAATATTCAAGAGACTCAACCATGCCATATTTATAACTGCAAGTTAAACTGCTTAAGAGAATTACTTCAACATATTTGTAATCGTTGTTTAGGCATGCAAAAAAAAGATTTGTAAAATTTGGTTCATTAGACATAAGAGATGAAATTAAGCATTAAACAAAGTACAGGGAGTGGGGACGTCCTCTCCGTGCCAGACGCTCAGGGACAGTTAGGAACCGAATCAATAAGGGAAAGGGATCTGGGTTCCGGAACCTGAGTGGAGGGCCTGGCCTTCCAACGAGCAGGGACATGTGTTGTAATAAGACAGAGGACAGAGATCATGGGCATCTCGATGGAGGTGCCAAGCTCTCCAAGGGAAAAAGCAAATCACATAACAAGACCTAAGAGTGTGATCCTACGTGGGGAAAAGTCAATCCAGTAAATTATATATCCATGTAACTGATGGGAAAAGATGACAAGATCTACTCTAACCCCTTCACCGTGATCCCTGTGGGGAGGGGGCGGGGGGACTGTCCTGTTTTCCCTAATGTAAATGCTTGATGTGCGGATGCCGTGTGCACAGGCCCCAGGCAGCGCACCGCTGACTGATGCTTACTCAGTGTCACACACTGCCTTGTTTACCGCCCACAAAAATCCGATGAAGGAGGTGCAATTATTGCCCCATTTTACAGATGAGGAAACTGAGTCACAAGTGGGCTCCTACTTAGTAGGTCAAGGAAGTGGAGGACTGGAACCCAGACAGCCTGACCTGGAGCTCGTGTGCTTAGTCAGAAAGCTGTGGGAGAGCCCTCCCTACCTTGCTGGCTCTCCAGCCGGGGAGGAGGCCACGCCCAAAAACAATATAAATACCAATGAACTAAAGTTCCCATGAAAATGTGCCAAGTGAGCAATGCGGGAACTCAGAGGAGGAAGGAAAGACTGGCCTGTGTGGAAGGTCAGAGCTTGCACGATACACTACAGCGCTGGATTTCATACTGTGGGCAGTGCAGAGCCATTGGAGGGTTGAAGCAGGGAGAGCTGTTAAGCATGGCTGAGCGCGGCAGTTCTTAAGGATGATTCTTCTGATAGTTGGTGCGAGGGACACACAGAGGCTGGGAGACCCTAGGGAGGCTTGTAGGTGACACAGGCCAGGACCAGCCATCACAAGATGGAAAAGACAACTGTGTCGCCTTTAAAAGAAAGACCACACAATTACACCTCAATACGGCTGTTTTTAAGAAAGGGGCCAGACTCAAGGTCCTGGTTCCTATACGTAGAAATAGAGGAAGGGGATATGTTTTCACTGAAGGGGCTTCTCTGAAACTAAAGAGGACTGACATTGCTTTATGGATAGCATCAAAGACCAAAAATTATTCTACAACATTCAGTTTTGCTGATTGTAATGCTGTGAACTTTAGGTAACAGCTCAGATTTGAAAACAGCTTCCTCAGGCAATGTGGTATGTGGTATGCAGTTAGGATCTCTTCCACATTTCACACCTACTACAATTTTTTTTTTTTTTTTTTTTTTTTTGCTGAGGAAGATTTGCCCTGAGCTAACATCTGTGCCACTCTTCCTCTATTTCGTACGTGGGTCGCCGCCACAACACAGCTGCCGACAAGTGGTGTCGATCCACACCCAGGAACTGAACCCAGGCTGCCGAAGCAGAGCGCACCGAACTTAACCACCAGGTCACCAGGCCGGCCCCTATAATTTTTAACCTGCAGCAGCCAGGCTGAGCACTGACAGTCCATGAACACAGGACACGTCCTGGAGACAGTGGACCCTGCTGGGCTCCTCCCACCCGCCCTTGCTTTTCTGGATCCTGACACCAGCTTTAGGCGCAGCCCTGGGCATTCCCTTTCTCCTGGCAGAGGTGTAGACCACATTTCCATTTTCTTAGGTCTACTTTGGAACCGCAGAAGGGACTTATCCTAGGAAAGAAAGGGAAATGACCCACAAAAACGAATCAATGAAGGATGGTCTCATTTGAGGGGAGCCTGGATCTTGGGATTTAGGAGGCCGTTCTTGCCTCCTCATGGCTACAACTCTCACCCCACCTGTCTCTGCTGATACTTTCTAGGGACACAGGAAGAAGCCTGACACTTGGCCTTTGTCTCTGGTGCCAGTCACATTTTGTCTTCACCTGGCTGGCTGTACAGTCCTGACCTCTCATAAGTTGTGTTTTAATCAAGGATCCCCGTGGCAGTGGTATTAAACGGGCTTCTCCCCAAACCGCCCCGGCTCCCAGAGGCGAAATCTGGCCGGTGGCGCCGTGAGCCTCTTCCTAGAGGCAGGACTCCAGGCTCAGAACCTGAGAATCTTGGTGGCAGGACAGGATTGTGAGGCTGCATTCTGTCCCCTGCGGAGGCCCAGCCCTGCCCAGTTCCTCCCCAGCCTCCCTGCCACGCGATGGCTCCTCCCCCGTGGTCTTCTCCTCCATCACTCCTTCATGTCGGCCACTGCCCGTCTTCTGCTGGAGCGTAAGGGGGCCTTTCCCAGCCCTGTCCTCAGGCTCCCTCCCACGGCCCAGGGGCATCTCACTGAAGTCAGCCATGTCCACAGTGCAAGCGGCAGGTAGGAGCCCCCGAACAGGGCCAGGGAGGGAGGGTGGGGTGGGCCTGGCCACAGGAGAGGATGGAGGGAAGAGGAGAAGGGCCCTCCTGCAGCAGAGGTGGCCTCTCTTCTTCCCGAGGACCCCTGCCCACTGCAGTCCTCCAAGCCCCCTGGGTTCTCAAAGCCGAGGCCCCGTGATGATACCACCTCAAAGCCTGGGTTTTCTCTGCTCCCCTCTGGCCTGCAGGAGAACTGAGCTCTGGGTGTTGCTGGCAAAATAGAACAATAGCTGAGAGAAGAAGACTGAGACCCTTACAGGCCCTGTGGGCCTCACAAAATCACAATCTGGGGGTCGTCACAGAAGTCCCTTACTGGCCTGAGGAAGCGACCTCTCCATCTCAACTTGAGAGTGGTCATTTGCTTTTCCCTAACCAAAGAAGATGCCCAGTTGTCACCAAATTCAGTGCTCTGGTAAATGGTAACAAGTTCACCTCCGTTTCCCTCCCCCATCACACATTAAACAGTGGTGACAGATTTCAGAGGGAAATCCCACCTGTAAATTTGAATTAACCTTCACTGACAGAGGGTAGAACAGTTTCCGAGGTGCATCATTTCCCCTGAATGATACTCCAAAGTCACAAACCACCACTGAGTGAGATCCCAAAGAGCGTTCATCATCTTTATGGGCATCTTCTCTCCTATCTGGGCATTCTTGATTTTTTAAAACCAGAAATGGCCTTCTGGAATGATCCAGATCTATTTCTAGCCTGAGGGGGGATGCACTTCATGGTCTGTGGGCCAGGGCTCAATTCTGGAGGCGGAAGGATCTAGATTTGAATCCTCACTTATGATAAGTGGCTCCAGAAAATGACTGTGGGCAAGTGACCTTGAGTCCAATTAAACAGTTATGGAGCACCCACTGTATTCTGGGCACTGGGGATACAAAGATAGGACACTCTCCTGACCAACAAGGGGTTCAGTGGACCTGACTCAGAGGGGAGACAGGCCCTTTCCTCATCTATAAATGGGGGTAAAGGTATCTGAGTATGATGGCCCTGATATGAAGTATGAATCATGATACAGTGCCCAACACACAACAGGAGCCTGACAAGTCCCTTTTAGAAATGGCGAGTCTGTCATTCTGGAAGGTCATGAGGTATAAACGTCCCCACAGAAGAAACACTGTTATAATGCTGAAAGGATGTTTGAAGTCTTAGAGTAAGAAAGGCTGGCTCACCGAGGTAAGCGACTTGCTCAAGTCGTGCAGGGAGTTTGTAGAACAGTCCAGATGGGAGCCAGGTGTTCCAACCACAGCCCACTTCCTCCACGTGCCTCCCTCAACATCCAAATTTGGCTGAAGTTCTCTTGGACTCCCCCTGCCCCCAGTCAAGAAGTCTTGGGAAAGCACCCCATTCTGTTATTCTGACTATGGCAGAGATACAAGGCATTAATTTTGCGGGTGGTTGCCGCAAACGTGTTGACATCCATGTTCTAGCCTGTTACTAGTCTAGACACATCAGCGACATCTGTTAATACTGTGCTGCTTTTCCGGGTGTTAAGTACAGCTGCCTGCAAACTTATTTAGCTAGAAACTTGCCATCCGGAATTGACTCTTTGTTCTTGTGAGAATTGCTAGAAAATGTTGACGTAAAGAGATGCTTTCTATGCACGAGTAAGTGTGGTCTACCAAGCAGAATTCTGTAGTGTGGACCACCTCTTAGAGAAGGAATGGCATCGTGTGGATTTAAATATAGCAATAAATATATTACCTGTGATAAGATTTACTGTGTGACTCAGCGTGAAATAGTCGTCTGTCGTGTAGAAACGTATGTGCTTAATTTATAAAATATTTAGAAATATGTGCCTAATAGAATTGTAAGGCTTACCATAAAACTTAAAACTCAGTGTTTATCTAAGATAAACATTTAGCAAATATTCAGCACATATTTGGCGAGGGCCTTCTCTGAGCCATACACTTGTAATTGGTTACAGCCTTGGGTTTTGAAATATTTGCTTCCTTTTTTTTTGCCACAATCCCAACCATGTGAGATACTAGCTTCTTGAATGTGCAAGAAGCTCATGTGATGGGCTATCAGCACTTCTCAAAGCCGCCAAAAAGGGCATGAGCCTTGTTTTGGTTTCCTCTGGCTACATCTGAGGAGAGTCCTTGGTGACTGGCAAGGTCTGGAGGACAGCAGCACCTCCCCCTGACCCCCCCGGCAGGAGCCAGCACATCCACTGCCCAACCAGGTCCCCTGCTGAGTGCTCCCAGTGACAACATGTACACATAGTAGTTAAAATCATATTACTCACTTTTATGGAAATGGCAATACTGAAAATTTTTTTGAACATACACACGATATAAAAGTGGGTTAGGAGTAGGATTTCAGCTATCTGAAAAAGATGCACAGAAGAAGGCATGTTCCAAGTCTTCTTCAATAAGAATGTATTTCTGGGGCCGGCCCGGTTAAGTGCTCGCACTCCTCTGCGGCAGCCTGGGGTTCGCCAGTTCAGATCCCGGGTGCGCACCGACGCACCACTTGGCAAGCCATGCTGTGGCGGCGTCCCATATAAAGTGGAGGAATATGGGCACGGATGTTAGCCCAGGGCCAGTCTTCCTCAGCAACAGAAAAGAGGAGGATTGGCAGATGTTAGCTCAGGGCCGATCTTCCACACACAAAAAAAAGAAGAATGTATTTCTGTTAAATTGGCAAACAGTGGCTGGCTTTCCTTGTGCACTTTGCAGGCAGGCAAGGGCCTGTGATGGCCAGGGTCATGTGTGCTGGATCTGGGATCTGAAGATCCACCTTTCCTGGCTGGGAGACCTGGGAGAAGTTACAGGCCCTCTCCGTACCTCGGTTTCCTCATCAAGCAATCGGAGGATGTCAATGCCTACTCCAGGGCATGGCCCTGAGGATGAACTGAGATAGAGAGTATGTTGTGGGTGAGATTATTTCCAGGCTCACTTCGAAATCGGCATCACTAATCTCAGGTCAGCTCTTAAGGCTGCCCAGCAGTCAGATCCTGACTCTCTAGCCTGCTCAAGCGCCCGTTCTCCTCTGTGACTTGCACACCTTTCTCTTCTCTCCTCAAACCCAGCGCTCCCTCTTGTATCCTCCGTCTCAGCTGCTGGCCTGGCTTCCTGTTCATATAGAAACAGTGGCAGTCAGGAGAGAGCGCCCCTCTCTGTCCACCCACCCACGTGCACAGGCGCCCTTGTGCCCCGCCTCCTCTCTTCCTGTGGGTGACTCATCTGGGATCCCAGCAGGGGCTGCTCCGTCCCGAGCTGGACCCCATCTCCTTTCTCCCGCATCCTCTCTCTTCTGGATCTGATTGTTCCACCAATTTATAAACATGCTGTTCCTTTCCCTCCCCTTAAAACACAAGCTGGTCCTTCTGGCCTCCTCAGGGTTGACTCTCTGACCTCCCTCCCGACTCCGCTCACTTTCTCCACGCGCCCACTCTGAACACTGCTATAAAATCACACACCGCCGCACCGTCTTGCCCGCCTTACTCCCTATGCCCTTGACCCTGCTCATTCCCCGTTGCACTTACCCCTTTCTAACGCCGCCTCCACCGCATCCAAGTGTGGGCTCCGCAAGGCAGGATGTCACTAGTTTCATTGCATCCCGGGCAGAATATGTGCTCCATCAACACTCATCAGGAGGTGAAGGGCTGTTAGCCACTGAGATTGTTTCAGACCTTTTATCAGAAGGCTAAAGCATCACAGATGCCTGTGCACATGTGCCTGCCTTTGGTTAGGTGTCTTCCAGATATGCAACGGCACCAAGTCAGCCTGTACGAGCTCAGCCTCTCCACCCTCCCCTCCAGACGTCTTCTGATCCACATTCAGGCTTGACACCACCATCACCTGAGCCAGAAACCTGAGCATCCTGAGTCTTCCATGTCCACCCAGAACACCCAGGAGGTCATCAAGTCTTAACGGGCTCTCAACTTCTCTCACGCCTTTCCTTACCTCTCCGTCTCCACAGCTATCCCTTGCTCCTTGAGCCCCCTGCCTCCTGTACCCTTTATACTGCTGCCAAAGCCATTTTTCTAATATGCAAATCTGATGCTCCTACTGCCGTGCTTAAGCCTTGTGCAGTTCTGCAATAAGCTCTTTTTTTTTTTAAAGATTTTATTTATTTATTTTTTCCCCCAAAGTCCCAGTAGATAGTCGTATGTCATAGCTGCACATCCTTCTAGTTGCTGTATGTGGGACTCAGCCTCAGGATGGACGGAGAAGTGGTGCCACGGTGCGCGCCCGGGATCCGAACCCGGGCCGCCAGCATCGGAGCGCGCACACTTAACCACCAAGTCACGGGGCCGGCCCTGCAATAAGCTCTTAATAACAAGCTTAATAAGCTCTTTGATCCCACCTCAATATCTGGGCCCTGCCTCCCCTGGCCAGCCCCACCCCTGCCTCGTGGAGACGCTCCCAGGGCTCCAGCCACACCACGTCACTTACTGTCTTGGCATATAGTGGGCTGCTGCGTGCTATTCGGGACCCACATTCATTCTGCCTGGATTGCTCGTCCTCTGGTTCCTCAGGCCAAGTCACTGCTGGTCTTCCAGGTGGGGCTACCTCTCTGGCACTCTGGGGGCACCCAGGACTCATTGGTACCTCTAACCCTCTTACTGTGCAAACCTAGCTCCACTGCTCTTTTTTTTTTTTTTTTTTTTGTGAGGATGATCAGCCGTGACCTAACATCCATGCCAATCCTCCTCTTTTTTGCTGAGGAAGACTGGCCCTGGGCTAACATCTGTGCCCATCTTCCTCTACTTTATATGGAATGCCGCCACAGCATGGCTTGACAAGCGGTGCGTTGGTGCGCGCCCGGGATCCGAACCTGTGAACCCCGGGCCACCGAAGCCGAGCGCGCACACTTAACCGATGCACCACCGGGCGGGCCCTCCACTGCCATTTTGAGTTTACTCTCTGGCTCCCTAGCAGACGGCTCCTTTCTTGTGTCCCCTGCCCATCATCTTTGTCCCCCCAGGGCTTGCATGGCAGAACCTGGGATAGCGGTCACACTGGGCTTGCTGCATGAATGAAAGGCAGGACCTGCTTTGTGTCTGTGAGCAATGTCCATCAAAGTGATGCTGGGAAATCCCCAAGCCACACCCTATCATTCACAAATATGGATTTCCAAGCTAGGGGCACTGCTTGGGTGGAAATCAATTATTGGAAGAGAAGGGAGCCAGAGGCTACAGATTTTGTGGAGTTGGATTAGCAAACACAGTCATGTGAGGAAGGGAAAATTAACCATGAAATTGAAGGGACATCTCTGCCAATTTACGTTTAGTCTGGTAGGAAAGGCCACCACCGAGCTAGCTGATGCTGCTCGTTGGCAGTTTGCAAGGCAGGGAAGGACGGGAGGCCCCATATGGGTGTCCACGGCTACCCAGGGGTTAGGAGGCCTGACCCTGCCCACTTCTCACTGCCTGATAAGGCATGGGGTTGCACCCCAGTTTTCCCTGGCAGGGGCTCTCACTTTCAGCTGCTCTCACATCATGGTTCATCTCTCACAGCTGCCCCCAGGAGCGCAGGGCCTCCCCACCAAAGGCCAGGAGCTCTGCTGGCCCTGAAGTCCCTGGCCACCCTCAGCCAGTCTCCATTCTTCTTTTTTTTTGCTGAGGAAGTTTCACCCTGAGCTAACATCTGTTGCCAATCTTCCTCTTTTTTTCATATGTGAGCTGCTGTCACAGCATGGCCACTGACGAGGGGTGTAGGTCTGCACCCCAGATTTGAACCCGGGCCACTGAAGTGGAGCACGCAGAACTTAACCACTAGGCCACGAGGGCTGGCCCCAGTCTCCATTCTTGACCTGGCTCTCCCCCTAATACTGGCCAGGCCCTTACCTGGTCAGCCCCCCTTCCTCTCTTGCCCGCCCTGCCCCCCCAGGATTGTTGGGACCATGAGCAGTAGAGGAGATAAAAGACAGATAGATGGGAGTGGGCATTGAGGAGCTAAACTTGTGATAAAGAAATATGATGGTCTCTTATGAAAAGCTAAAAATAAGGTGGGGTCTGAGAGGAGCCGCAGTCCCTGAGCTAGGTCAAACTGCAGTCACATGAAAAACGACTGGAAACAGCAGGAGCTGGAAGGGTGCACAGGACCACCAAACGTAAGGTGGCTTAAGCTTGCAAGTCTTTCTTTTTCCAGAGGTATTACAAATCCATTAAGCACTGGCTTGTGACAATGAAAATGCGTCAGTGGGGAGCCTAACAGAGGAGTCTTTGAGGTCAATGTTCCGTCACTCCCCTCTTCTGAGCCTCAGTCTGCGGGCCGTAAATGGCGAAAATAAGTACCTCCTAAGTCGCTGTGAGGATTAGAAACCGAGGCACAACGGTGGGTCAGTGCCTGTCACGCAGTGGGTGCTCAATACTCAGGGTTTTGTCCCCAACGGAGGAGTTATTTGTACTCAGTGGCCACAGCCCCTATAAATTACCTAATTTGTCAAGTAACCCCGGAGGGGATGCACACCAGCTGAGCGCGAGCGGGCACGGTTCAGATGACGCCCCGCTCCTTCCTGCAGGTGTCTGCGCCTCCACTGGCGCCGGCCGCCGCCCTGGTGGGGATCCCGGGGCGCTCAGAACTCGGAGTCCCCGGCCCCTCTGCCCAGGGGCGGTCACAACCAGGGGGCGGCCTGGGGACTCGCCCCGCCAGGACCCTCCTCCAGGCCGACCCTGCCCCCGGCCCCTGCCCTCCCCCGTGGAGGGTGGGCACCCGCCCTACGATCCCCGCCGGCTAGGGGTCTCCGCTTTCAGAGATGGGTGGGACAGGCCCTGGGGCTGGGAGGACTGGGTCCGAGGGCCATAAAGGTCAAGACCCCAATGCGGCGTCTCCTCGCGGCCGGAGGTATGTAGGCGCGCGGGGTCACGGCCAACAAGTGGCCGGCGGGGGGGCGGGCGCGGCCCC